AGTGAAAACCCGGCTTTACCGTCTTTTTTTAATATTTTTTTTTTATAATGTCAAGTGACGGGGCGTACAAATCGTGAGCCTGATGATAAGCTACACGCCTGTCAATAACAGTTGCAGTATTTGTTATTTTGTCGATTCGTGAAATTTGGTAATTATCGTGCAGAGTGTAACATTTGCAGATTCACAGCAGAAATGTGTAGAGTAAATGTAGATAGATAGACACGTAGGGAAAGATAGAGATAGACCTGGGGGCCTACTGTGAGCTCTTAGAGCAATCCTATTTTAGCCTGTAAGTTGGATTGTCTGTCAAATTAATACTATGACCTCACAAAAACAATTCACTGTCCATGCAGTTTACGTTCCCCATTCGAAATCCGTTGACCTTTCATAGTAAAATCGTATCACGACGAGCCATTTGCTATGCACATGGCGGTCTCTTCTGTTAAAATAAGCAATTCAAAAAAAGTTACTCCGTGACTAACTTTTTTAGATTTAGTTACGTTTTAAGAAATTTCGTGTAAGTTTTATTATATTTCTAGTTTCATAAATATTTGTCGTCTGTAAAGGCTATATAGTCAATTGTCAATAAATAAATACTATTAACTATATGTTATTGCAATTTTTAAATGGAATTTTAATAATTTTAATGTCTTATGAAAGTCGTAAAAAAATTTTTAAATAGTGCCAAATTTGACTTCAGTGCAATCAATGAAAATGTGCGAATACAAGATACGTTCCAATTACGTTATCAAATTACAAACTCACCTCATTAATTTAAATGATAATAACTAAACATGACATGTAATTTTGTAGCACGACAAATTGTAAAGTATGACTCAAAAAGTTGCCGATATTTCAAAACAACGTCGTAAGTATAATCAATAATAAAATTAATAACAAAATATAATTATTCTATATATTCAAAATATAATATAATTATTCTCATTTTGAACACAATCGGTTAATTATGCTAGAATGCTCCCAGGATAACAATAAACGGTTACGCGACCGTGATACCCTCGAGGGGGTGAGGCACTTCCCCTTAGTAGCCCTGTGACACTCGTCGCAAGCGCATATGTGTCTTAATTTGTGCTTGCGGTCTCAGATTCTGCGCGCGACCGGTCGTGTTCCAGAAAAATTCATGGAATTAAATTGAAACTTGAGTGAGTATTTCATGTTATATGTATTATATTACTTACAAAATTACATTATTTTATGTAATATATATTAAATTATTTATTATTTCACTATTTGTTGTAGACACAACATGAGTTACGAAGAATCAGGAGGCGGAAACAGAAGATGAAGATTTTGATGATGTCAAACCATTGCTACTGACATTGAGTAGGTTAACGTATGTACTACCTGCTCCTAAAAAAATTAGTAGTTTTTTATTTTGTTTTCCTTTTTAATTTTATAAGAATTGAGATGGTACGTAGAACATCATGAAAAAAATATTCAAAAATAATTGTGATTTTAGAGTTCCTACAATATTGTGCAATTGATGACAATATTGGTTGATCTCGATAATAGTCTAATGTAGTGTGCTTATGAACGATTAAGATAGAAAACTTCATCTTGTTTTGTTAGTTTATTGATTTTTAACGTTGTTTGTGTCATATGCCTAAAATTTTGAATTTTTATGGACTGTTCAAGTAATGAGTACAAATTTAAAAATTAAATAATGTTGTTTTTTTTATTTTCACTTACATAGATAGAAGACTTTCTTTATCATGTACTACATAACACCATGAAAATATTCATTTGTCTTCTCAAACTGACTTCGTAAAGTTGCGGTCTCATAGACCGCACGCGACTGCTTATGTTCGGCGCAAGGGTGCGACCACTGGAAGGTTAATGTCTAATATTAGTAACATGTTTGATTTATCAAAGACCGATATCATCTTACAGTGGTTAAAAGGCTGCCAGTGTTGATGTTTTTAAATTTTTTTTTTATTTGGTACATTGGTGGCACCCAACTTTGCCACCACCATTTCATCATAATATTATGTAATCGTCATATAATATTATGTAATTCGAGAAACTAGAGGAGACTAAAATGCGTAGCTATAGGAGATACAATCAATATAAGAAGTTGCTCAACGCCTGAACATTTTATTGCTTCCGCACTTAAATAATAATAAGTGTTTTGGGACAGAGTTCGTAAATAAACATGGATTTCAGTGGATATAATTCATCGGCATCCTCTTTACCGTACTTTTTGTGCTTTATCCATTGACTTACAAATAAATGGACGACGGGTCTAATACAAAAACCACGAAAAAATGTCCCAAGTCAACCTATTTAAACGTAATGACATGTAAAAGAATATGAAAAAGCTAAAACGTTAGATTTAAATTGTAATGTCATCGCAGTACTGTCTAATTTTGCTTGCTTCGCTGTCAGTCGACCAAAAAAAAAGACTAAAGCGTGAATGACGCTCTGTATACGATTTTAACGCCCTATAAGTTCGGACACTTTTTAGCGCGGACCCGATGTCCATGTAATCTCTTTTTATATATAATTAAGTTTGTTTGATAGTTGAATGGTGTTTGCATACATAACATAATATTATCAATTAATTATAAATAAATTAACAATAGGTATAGATATAGTTAAGCATCACACATTTTGTCGCATCATAAATTCTTTGCACGCATATTGCGAATTTAAATAAGTCAATGTTTTTGTAGTATTAGTTTAGTGCGCCTGTGACGCACTCCCTGGTCTCCGCATAATACCAGCGACGTGGCTGTTCTCAGCCACGGCACATGCTGAGCGGTGCCCATTCAGTATCAGTAATTTTAGTTTTTAAATTATTTTTATGTACATACAATTTAAAGGTACTGAATAAATGTTTCTTTCTTTCTTTCTTTCTTTCTTAATTGTAAGTCAATGGCTTTATCTAAATCTCGTGTATTTGTTTTTTAAACTAACGTCTGGGCCCTTTATAGGTCCCATAGTCACGACTGACTGAGATGGTAAAGTCATTAAGCAGTTACGTCTAATATTAATGAAAACTACCTACTGTTCAGGACTATAATTACATAAGCTTAAATACCTTGTTTTAATTTTAACAAAGAACAATTTACGCTACATACGTTTTGCTATTGTATTTTAACAATACGAACTTTTACTAAATTCAATTTATTTATTTGAATGACATTAAAAATAAAATATGTTAAAATATGATACTACCTCAGCTTGAAATCTAAAATTTATCTCTAAAATTACCCGCTCACGCGATGCGCTCCTCCTACCGCAAAATGGCGGCTATTTGGTTTCGCAAATTAGAAAAGCATTCAGTTAAAATACAAGTTTTTATAAATAAAAATTATTATTCTGCATTGCTAAATAAATACCCTCCGTACTACCAACAAAAACATCTCAAATAAAATGCAGTAATACACCGCAAATCCTGCACTTAAAAAGCACTAATGAAATTTTTGGTGTACTTGGATAAATATGATAATATTCCGTTTGAGTGGTTCTAACGTTTTTCAAGAAATTACTCCTTAAAGTATAGTTTATAAACATTTTTATTCAGGGTAAACTTAAAAAACGCTACTTACGATATGTTTTCAATAAATAAACACCGAAATCACTAGCACAAACAATAACACTCACACGATTGTCGTGACGTATTTTTGAAGTTGTTTA